ACTAATGATAAGTAATATCAATGCATATAAACACATTCAATAAAACTTAATGTATAAAAGCTATGGCATGTAAAAGAAATCTCATTTCAATAAAAAGTGGAGCAGAAACAAGTACACAAACTATCAACGCTCATAAACAATAGAACATAATATACAATACAATAATGAATGATTTATAATAACAAAATAAGAATATTAAACCAGAGGAAATCATCATAATGCTGCATATTGTATAACAACTACCAATAGAAATAATAAATAAATACTGAGCATTACTTTACTGTAAAAAAATCATCAAAAATAGAATAAAATTGCCCTGCTGCAAAAATTAAAAATTACTTAACAAGAAGTCTCCATTATTCTTGAAGGTATTAAAGTTAACGAGAGAGAGATTGGATGCCATAGTGTAAATATAATGAAGAAAGGAAACGATTGAATGCGTTTGTGTAGAAGTGAAGGTGTAGTAAAGAATGAGTGAGATGTGGTTAATTGGTAATACATACTAAAGAATTGAAACAATTCCAACAAAAACAAATGAAAAGAATGAAGTACGACAATGAAAACTACAAGAAAGCAATCCATTTTACATAGTATTATAGTTTAAGATTTAAGATAAAAATGAAGGATGAGGTTTAGTAGCTATTGGTACTAGCTGTCTTTTTTCTGCCTCTTCGACAAACTCACGAACTAATTTTGATAAACTAATTCTAGCCTCAACAAATTTAACAATAGACTCAGCATTGACTGACCTAGCACCATCAACATCTCCTTGAACAGGAACCAAATCAAATTTATCTATTAAAACACGAACCAAATCCAAGTTACCACTTCTACACGCAAAATATAATAATCCTTTGGAGCTGTTTGTTAAAATATTCTTATCACATTTTAGATTACTTAAGTAATGTGATACAAGTTGAATGTTACCACCTCGACAGGCAGCATGAACACCAGTGAATCCTTTAATGTCTTTGTCTTCAGGATGAATATTAAAAGATTGAATCAGATACACTGACATCTCATAATGTCTGCCAGCATAATGAAGTGGAGACCGACCAGCTTTATCCTTAGGAGTTGGATTATTCCTAATACGAGGTACAAGATACTCGTATATCTCTTTATCTCCTTGCTTTGCTAGTATGTGTAGACATGTCACTCCATTTTTATCCTGTGATTCTGGATCAAGACCATGTGATTCCACTAGGAATTGGATGAGATCCTTATTACCACTCTCAGCAGCTCCATGAAGCAATCCTTCCTCATTATTGTTCACACTATAAACATTAGCTGG